TTTTTTTTAGTAAGTATCTGCAGTTCCTTCATCTTTATCAGACAAGTAGGCTTCATGAAGATATTCCAAGTAGAAGTAAAAAAAGTATTCAACAATTAGCAATTTATCATTTGACATGGATTAAAATCGTATGGCAAAGCAATTCAACATTATTGCGCAGTTGTTTGATATTTTCAGGTAACTAGAGCGACTGAAAAAGCCTGTTTTGCGATATGAAAATTGTCTGACAAGTGAACGGTTCATAGATTAACAAGAGTGCGTGAAGGTGAATAGAGTGACTAGCTCCTTGATCCACATTATATGGCGGAAAAGTGACTGCCAGGCACGTGAATTCGATTTTTTTTAAGGGGAGAACATAATCGAATGACTGTTCCCGCCTGGGTGAGGCGGGAGGGAGTGTCAGACTCTTACTGACTAAAAACCACCCCGTTCCTACTCCTGCACTTCGAGTCGGAGCCCCGGTAACCCGTTAGGTTCTCCGCGACACGTGAATAGTATAGGGGCATTTCATAGGAAGATTCCTTAGTCCCGAATAAACTTAATAAGACCAAAACTTTACCACAGTCATTCCCATACGAAGAACTTCAACCATCTTTCAGGGAGATGAAGGTTGGTAATGATGAAGAATCGATACTAATACTAAACCCAAACGAAAACATACCAAATAAAGAGTTAGATAACTAGATACTCAAATCCGTTCCAAAAAATAACGTAAAATCCAGAATCCGACGATATAAACGGATTAATAGTCGATTTAAAAAAGCCCGAGGGTTGTATTCGTTTGACACAAAAGTAAATACGGATAATGATCCCGTACGCCTGCGGGGACGAATACTCGACAAAGGTTTGATACAGATAACAACATTTTGATAAGGGATATACGAGGTATTAACAGTTTTAATCGAAATCTGTGTTTGTATAGCCGATTATCATGCAATCTGTGTTAAAACTAACGCAAGAGTGCCTATGAATGTGATGTTGCAACGAATGTTATATTTTTTTTGATGGATAAAAATCATCCAATCATTTCTCCCAGTTTGGTTGATATGAGTGTGCAACTGCAAGAAGTATCATACTCTTACTGACTAAATAACATGGTGGCCGTTCCATTTTCTGCAGTCTAAGTCGTCCGCAGATCAGGATCAGAACAAACACTATCTACTCTTTTAATTTAGCTGAATGCAGAACCGAGTAAAGTTATTGAGCATATAATAAACAACGAGTCTTTGTAACCTACCTATATTGTTTTTCTAGACTAGTAGTCATTTAGAAAAACTAGGCACAAAAAGGGTAACAACATAGTTTAGACCTATAGATACAATGTATGCGGAAATTGTGTTAGTAAAGTTGACAAACTAATTACATGGAGAGTGCAAAGTTACCTCTGAAACTAAGCTAGACGTAAGCGGGCAAGGGGAAGGGTAGAATACACTACTTCTACTCTTTCCCCGGGTTCATGAGAGTCGACTCAGGGACTGGCTAAATAACAGACACTAAGCAGCAGTACTGTCTGCTGAAACTCTTTAATTGTGACCTTTATCTTGATTTAGGCAAACCTCATCCAATTAGGGGAGGCTGATTACAGTTTTAGAATATCACTATACTCGCCTCGGGTCTCTATGTAGATTAATCTTTCGACTTTTTGATACGGAATAGCGAATTCGAAATCTAAGTATATCAGAACATTTTTTCTTAAGCTGAATATCAAAATTATTACTAAAGAGAGACATATAGAAATATTTTTCAAATATTGTTTTTTTTTTAAATATTTTTCTATTATAGGAATAATTTTAAGAACATTATTTTTTTATTAAGGTTTTAAGTTAAATTAAACTAATAATCTTAAAATTATTTACACACAAGTTTTTATAATAACTGTCGTGAGACATACTAAATTAACTAAAAATCACGTGAATATACGGAGAAAAGCTCTACTAGATTCGAGCCACAGAGGGGCTCTTCCTCATGAGCAGCGTGCTAGGCTGCGCGACACCGCGACTTTTTTAGTACAGCTTCTTTCAGTATATTCACGTGAGTAACCCGCGATATTTAGTTAATTTAGACTTGTAATTGTAACGACTACAGTAAAACCACTCAATAATACTACATTTTCCTACACAAAACGCAATGTTTACAAATTATTACTAGCTTTCGTGCGCACACAGTAACATATTAATGGCTGACTAACACGAGTTCTTAGAATACTACGGGTACCATTCAGTAATTTCATTTGGAACTAATTAATGAACTCTAACAGTTTAGTAATAGGTCGCTTTATGCAATGTCACAAGTTATTACCCTGAGGGGTTTGAAGTTACTAAATGTCCAAGAGAATTTGGAATTGTTTGGTTCTTGTTAGAGAATCAAGTCCTTTAGATATGGCAATTAGTATTTTGATTATTTCAGTTAATCCTTTGAGTACCGTCATTATAGACACAATTAAAGAACAATAGGTTGCGGTACCGGTGTCCTCGCGGTGTTTGACAGTTTAAAATAGTGTAGTAAAGACTAATTCTTTAGTAATTTGGGAAGTGACGAGTAACATATCGAGTTCTGTAGGATGGTATGGAGAAGCTTAAGCCCCATAATGGACGGACACGGTCATGGGACGATCACCGGTAACGGGTCATGGCATTCCAGCTGAGCACTTGGCCTTTTTGCGCGGTGTACACTTTTACAATTTTTGTTATTGTATTTTATTCTTCTTGTTTTAATTTGTTACGGTGCAAATAAACAAATTTTCGTTCTTTCTTTCTTTCATTATCATCAACACCCGGAAGATGTCCACAAAGGCCTTAGTCCTCCACATGGGGTTTTTAAACATTGTGAGGATCCTAAGTGCGAAAGACCTTGCGGGTTACCGGTTACGTTCCGGCTCCAAGCAGGAGTAGAAACGGGGTGGGTTTTTAGTTAGTAAGAGTCTAACACTCCCTCTCGCCTTCCTCCAATAAATTATATTCCAATAAAGTATCTGTCTCATTAGTAAGATAATCATAAAAGCGACTGCTGAAAAGTCGGTGTCGGGGTCGATGCTGAGTCAGGTGGAGATTTTCGATTATACATTTTAAAATAAAGCGGAGTCGAGAATAGTATATAATGTTTAGAAAAAAATTGGTCCATCTTATACTATTATATATAGCGGAAGAGTTTGTTTTTTTGTTTGTTTGTTTGAACGCGCTAATCTCCGTAACTACAAGTCTGATTTGAATAATTCTTTTTGTGTTGGATACCGCATTTATCGAGGATGGCTTTAAGCTACAAAACATCACGCTACGACCAATAGGAGCTGAGCAGAGCGTGTTAAACCGCGCGGAAGTAGCTAGTTACCTATATGAGTCTTATAATAGTGAACAGTGGGTGTTACATTAAATACCATTTAGGAAAATAAAAGAGGTGCAGTTAGTTTTGATCTCAAAACTATGCACAAACACAAAGAGAACTTTCGCTCACGTAAACATAACTGCGCAAAATTTAGTTTGATACAAAAGCAAAATGACTATGTAAGTTTTAATGAGCACTTGTGTATACACTAATGTAGTGTATATTAATTATTTCGTATTAAAATTTATGTACGTGTTGTGTATATTTTATTTATACGACGACCAGACTATTTTTATAGCAATTATTCCAAACTCCGATATACTAGAAAACAAAAAGGCAATAACACTTTGCGCAACTCTTTAATGGAGACGGTTACATTTTCGACTATTTGTTAACGAAGCGTCTAAAAGATAATAAAATCTTATAAGTACAATTGAATTTTGTTCATAAACGACACAGGAGCAAACAGGGTAGGGTAGGGTCAAAAAATTGTTTTTAAAAGCCTTGTTTGTAAAAACAAAGACCAGACTGCATTATTGTCCTTAAGGTTATTTATTTTCTTTTTTGATCACTTTGACTGGATTTTAGTGTTACATTGTTCTCGCACAATCCAAACAGCAAAACTATGTAACTAGTAAATTGTATTGTGAACCTGATTGAAAAAGAGTAACCTATGGAGTTTCTTGCTCGTTCTTCTCCATAGGAATCTACACCTTGGAATGAACAAATAGCTTCACTTTTATTTTTTTTTGTTGACGTTCAAAAGTGCCATTCTGGCCTAATTGAAATAAATGAATTTGACTTTGACTTTGACTTAAAGTAAATTGTTACATTTTCCCGTTGAATAGAAACTTTTCTTCAGATTTTTACTTCAACGTGAGGTTTAACTTTATAAGGTTTTCGAGGCAACGTCCTCGTGGCCGAGAAGCCATAATTTAAAAAGAAAGTATTAATAAGACTTATATAATAAACAAAGCGTATTTCAAAACATTCGTTATGACAACCTCGTTGGTCGGTCGGGGTGACCGCAAAGGGTAACCAGAGTTACAACGTTACAAGTGCGTTGCCGGGTTTTTAAAAAGCATGTAAAAATGAGATTATAAGACTAATGGACTATAGTGGCTAAAACTGTTCATTTATGACACATTTACGGAGATAAAACAACACCGATAACGGCAACTCGATGTTTTTGATAACTCAGTATTGTTGTATGACTCAAATAAATATTAAAAACTAGCTTCTGCCCCGTATTCGTACGCGCAATCCCGTTTTCTCCCGTTCCCGTAGGATTTTCTGGACTTTTTCTGTCATAAGAACCTTGTCCTGACGATAATAAACACAACAAAAAAAATCAGCCAAATCGGTCTAGCCGTTCTCAAGTTATGGCGTGACAACGGGAAACGGGTTTCATTTTTATATAATACTAGCGGACCCAACAGACGTTGTCCTGCATATCCACTTGAATGTATAAACAAAAATTCATTCAAATTAGTTCAGCTGTTTAGGATAAATAACCTGGGAATGGTTTAGATTTGTGAATCTAAACCATTCCCAGATCCCCTTGAACACACACAAAAAATTCATCAAAATCTGTCCTGTCGTTTGAGAGAAGTTTAGTGACATACACACTCACAGAAGAATTATATATATAAAAAAGATAAGATAATAGATGGACTTACCAACACAATGGGGACAGTCTTCAACTTGGTCCATTGTATCCTGAATGAGGCTCTGTTGCACTTTGCAGAAGTGAGCCTCACCCAGCCCGGTAGCTCCAGGAGGTCTGTCAGCAACTCCTCATCCAAGGTCAGGTCTTGCAGCTCACCAGACCCTCGCAACGCTGAGAGGGAGATCTGTTCTGGTGACAGATTCTTTGTGAACCTGGTGGAAGAAAGAGAGAAGTTTTAAAGAGAGTGCGGTAGTTGGGTGGATGGTTGCTTGTGTTTTTATGGGATAAGCCAGTACACGACCAGACGGATCACTTGATGGTAAGCGATCGGCGCCGCCCATGCTTACCCACCCAACCGCAACATCAGAGGAGTATTAGGTGCGTTGCTGGCGTTTTAAGGGTTAGAAATTTGAGAATTGGGGAGAATGGGGAGGGTAGGAGCAGGAGGGGAGGGAAACTGTTGATTTCTTTTTTATTATCTAACAATAGTAGTACCTATCCGGAGTGATACCACGGCCTCACAGAAAACCGACGTGAAACAATGCTTGCGTTGTGTGAGTGAGGTTACCGGAGGCCTAATAACTCCCCCCCCCCCACTCCTTCCCCAATCTCCTCCATCCCTGACTCCCCAACAATCTTCAAATTTCTAATCCCCAAAACGCTCTTGTAACACCTCTGGTGTTCTAGGTTTCCATCGGTGAATAATTTACACCTAGTCAAAATTTGTTGCTGTGCGATGCTTTCTTAAGTAGCTTGAAATAAACACTATGAGCAGGCAGATTTGCGTCATTGAGAAACCGCGCCACGATGGTATTTTATGTAATAAATACAATTTGACGTCGTAGAACGTGGGTTGAGGTTCTTTTGATTGACAAAATCCATATAAGTAGAAGGAAACGACATCACAGACTAAATTGAATTTGTTCTTTTTCCAGCTTTCCGTATAGGAATAACTAATGATATATTTATATGCAAAATGTTCTTACAGAAGAATTACAGGGTTTTAAAAATAAATCTCAGTAGTAGCACGGAGTCCGCAATTGTGCCCGGTATATAGCAATAGGCTCACCCCCTAATACATGGGACTTATAACATAAATAGTGAAAAGTTTGTATCACATTGTACAGTGGCGTTAAGTGCCGTAATGTGTACCTCTGTCTACCACTTCGGGGATAAAAGGCGTGACGTTATGTTCTTGTAAGAATATGAATTTCACAATACAAAGATCTACTACCTAGTAACCTACTTTATTTAGTTATATAAAGGTAGTGAAAATCGATTACCCGGCAATAAAATACGAATAAATTCAAACTAGTCTAGAAATAAAGATAAACTCCAACTCAGGAGTAAATTAAAAAATATTTTTCTATAAAAAGACACAATATTTCCTTTGAAGTTCCAGTGGAAACTTTATACTATATGAATAATGAATTATTCAACTTCAATAGCTCATTTTCTTCCATGTTTCATTATTCATACAGTTTATAATGAACACAGAGTGAGAGGAATCCCATATACCTACATTTATTACTGGATATTATTGTTTATTGTTGTCTTAAGATGAAGGGATCAGTGTTGTATTTTGTATTGATTTTATATTGTGTCTTCTTCTTCCGCGGAGAATATAGACTTCTGGCAGAATTTAGGCTTTTTAAATTAGTCTTTATCAATTTATTCTACGGTAACGAATGTCGTCAGAGTTGATTCAGTACCTATAGGGCTCATCTCGGTAACCCGTTAGGTTCTCCGCGACTCGGATAAACATGTTGACTGAATGTTTAACATAGAAGGTGGCTGCTGTGCAACGTATCGGGAGTTAAATTCCAGCACAAAACAACTGTTTGTGTGATCTACAAATTGCTATTCCAGGTGTGGGCATCAACTACTTCAGACAAAACGATCATGTGGGTGGGGGTCCATAATATGACATAAAACATAACATAACATCAGTCCTTTTATCCCCGAAGGGGTAGGCAGAGGTGCACATCACGGCACTGAATACCACTGTACAATGTAACACCCACTTTTCACTATTTATGTTATGAGTTCAATGTAATAAATAGGGAGTGAGCCTATTGTCATATGGAGGTCCACTACTATTAAAAAAAAATTGCCATTTAACAATCAATACTTTAGTAGTTTCTTAGAGAAGGAAGAGTTTGTTTTTTTGTTTGTTTGTTTGAACGCGCTAATCTCCGTAACTACAAGTCTGATTTGAATAATTCTTTCTGTGTTGGATAGCGCATTTATCGAGGATGGCTATAGGCTACAAAACATTACGCTACGACCAATAGGAGCTGAGCAGAGCGTATGAAACCGCGCGGAGGTAGCTAGTACATATATTATATACATGCACAGTACACTACACAGTAATATACACAAGTTCAAGTTAATATACATTATGGCTACATAAGTACAGTGAGTCACAACATTTTAGTCAATTTGTTTACAATAACATAATATCGTATAATACCTATCATTATGTATAATGTAAAATTGGCAGTGTATTCACAAAGGAAATGTGATAAAAATTACTGGTTGAAATCTGAATGTCATTAATATACATCCATATTTATATCTATACCAATATTATAAAGCTGAAGAATTTGTTTTTTGTTTGTTTGTTTGAACGCGCTAATACCCGAAACTACTGGTCTGATTTGAAAAATTCTTGCTGTGTTGGATAGCCCATTTATCGAGGAAGGTTATAGGCTATAAAATATCACGCTACGATTAATAGGCACCGAGCAGAGCGAGTGAAACCGCGCGAAAGTAGCTAGTTTACTATTATTAGACTTATTGCCAGTGACCGGTAAAGTAGAGGTAAAGTGACCAAGAGGCCAGAGTCTCATACGGTGGTCTGACAAAATATCCAAGGAGCTGGAGATACCCATAAATGTTGCAATGCACCAAGCAATGGAACGAGATAAGTGGTGACATCTAGTGAGCAAAATCAGAGGGAGTCACGATCCTCAGCAGTGAGGGAATTGACTAAGAAGATATGTTATGGTAATATAATGGACACTGAAGATTCAAATAAGATCTTTCAAAGTCTGCATCTGTAACAGCCAGCCACCGAAGTGTTGCTCCTTATAATGTGTGTCTGTTTACTAATATAGCCAGCAAGAACTAGGTATCCTTTAGTTAAGTACATTCTAAGAGGAAAAAACAATGTTGTTTATGTCTAACAGTCATAGAAAAATATAATTAATCATATTTAATGACGATTCAACAATTACTGTTTTTTTTTTGCCACAACAACAATTACGCTGGAATAGTCCAGGCATTGCAACCTTCTTACGTTGAGGAACCAGCTTTGCCATAATCATAACGCTGGACTTGCAGGCTAGAGATTGCAGTTTAAACCTTTTAGGTTTTATTTTATATTTGATGGGCTGACATTTAACCACTATCTCGCCTGGTTGTAAGCGATGATGCGGTATACGATGGAGCATGTCATCCCATAAGCAACCTAAATAAAAAAAAAATTTCTTTTGTTTTAATCAGACATCTTGTTAAATTCTCATTTTAATGTGTGTATGGTGTGGATTATTGCTGTTATTTTCTTTTCTATAATTCTTAAATTGGATTTTATTTTTAAGCCACTGTTAAGCCTATGAATTGCCAGTGCTATGTACGCCATTATTGTCGCATGCATCAGACCTTTATTTTGTTACTATTGTGTATTTTGAATGTTATATGTTTGTGATGTGGCCGTACTCCTTCGAATAAATAAATAAATAAACCTATTCACTTAGGTCTTGAACCCTTCAGGATATACCGACTCTGGCAAAGAATTCAACTCCTTAGCAGTATGCACAAGGAAGCTTGATGCGAAGTGCTTCATGGTTTATCAGACAGTTTGTTTTATGTCTTGTTGTCTTATTGGTTGCTATTAGGTATGTCTTATTGGTGATAAGTAACTTATCATTAGTAAATTTTTGTAGTGAGTAGAGGTGGCAATTACTTTCTAATAGTTTTGATAATTTAGTAAGTACTAATGAAATAACTTTATAATGAGTGTGAGAAATCTAAGATTATTTTTGTATAGTTATTTTAATTTTCCTTGATTACTATAAATTACTTATCATCACATTACTGCTTCATATTAAATCAATTGAGGAAAAATATAAGATGAATTATAGTAAAATAAATGTTTAATACAGTTTTCAAGGTTTCTCATTCCCCTTGAAACAGATGCCTAATTTACAAAGTATTTAACATGTGTGCCTCACGACTTACACACTTGACCGACTGATAACACAAACACGTCAGATAGCCGCGTATTTAAACAACAAAATGTGTTAACTTAAAATAAAACATTTGTTATATTAATTTCAGTTATGTATAAAGAATATTGTTAAGACAACAGTTTTATTTATTTATCTGACCCTTTCTTCTCCGATGCTAATGAGTAAGATATATAAATAGAGATTATATAGCTTTATAATTTGCGGCTAACAAAAAACATTATTCAAATATACATACGTAGCTACGATAACAATACATAAATAAATCAAACAAAGGAACATACTTGCCAAGTTAATTGCGCTTGTTTACACATTGAAAGCATATTTAAATTAACTCCAAGCAAAACCAAAGGCTTACAAGTCTTAATCACAGAAAATTAATTAAATTATTATCACAGGAACAAATCCAGGGAACAAGGGACTTATTCAGTAAAATCAATGATCGTACATACCTCGATAGATGTTTTAACAGTTGGTTCTTTATTATAGTCACCATTGTTAATGATAAATTTGTTATAATCTAACTAAATAACACGGAATTTATCAAAAAATCATTATCGCACACACGAATTCTCTCATCCAAAGGTACTTTTCTTGTGAATGAAAGTGAACGATTTAATGAACAAATCTGTCTTAATGTCAAAATCGACCGACAATGCGATGATATTCTCGTATGTCATATGGATTGTGTTTTCCTGTTCATGATGCGACAAAAATGTTAATTTGGATTTTATGAACTAATTTTGTAATTTACTACAGAAAAAATATGTTAAATGAATTACGTGAATATTTTATCGAATAAATTATAAATATACATGCTGGCATGATACCGGCGTATCATGGAATCGTCCCGTAGAAACAAAACGCAAACTTAGCAACCAAACCGCGCTACATTTGTTTGGCCGTTGTTAAGTGCATCATCGATTTTGTACCGTGTACTTTATTATTCCATTTATTGTAGTTATTTATAAAAAGGCAGAGTGTTACAAGAAGAGGGGACATCAAAATACTGGCTGACAATAAATCCAGAGACGACATTTGTAAGATTCTAAAAACAAGTTTATTTTGACACACAAAGTCTTTTGTTGTTATTTTCAGAGCTTCATTTTCGTTTACAATATTAATATAATTTCGTATTAGTGCTTCGTTGTGAACAATTTCTAAGTATTTATTACAAGTTAGCGGATTTTACAAATTACTTCACTATTGAATAGAGCAGTAAAGAGTAGATATACAACTTGCAGTAAGTTTATTAGTAGGCGCTTACAACTTGGATATTATTGATAATCTCACTTGGTATGTATGGTGGCTTACATAATTTTATTCTAATAACAAATAATCATTGAAATATAAAGTAGGTAGCCGTGAAAAAATATTTTACATACAATTCGAACTTTTGTACGTAACTTATTTTATCAGTTCGGTATCTATCGAATGACTAATCGTGTTTCGTGTCACATAAAAACACCCGCAGTGAAAACACTACACCATGGCGGAAGCCACTCAGGCGTCCCGTGGTCTCATTACTTTTACAGATCACCTTGAGAAAGTGTAAATATTTACGTCTGAACTGCTGTAAAAACTGCCAAGGTTTATTTAGTAATTAGTACAGCCAACCATGGCGGTAGTAGCACTAGAATAACTTTTTATGACTTGGTTATATGCTCTTAAACTTCTTGAATTTGAACGCACCGGGCAGCGTTGGTCGCTTACCACCAGGAGATTCGTTTTCTCCTTTTCCATCCCCATATGTCTAAAGATATTATCAGTTCTTGTTTAATGATAACTGTATTTTACTATCTTGTATCTAGGTACCACATACACACCCAATAGCCACGTCAGTACAGCACCAGTAGTTAAGCTAATTCCAATTTTCAGCTTCCCACAGTAATTCACGCTTCCACAATGGCACGCCGAGAGAAAACAGTAGAAATAAACTATATCGACACCGAATTTTCTTCCGGGGACTGCAAACAGATGAGAACGAAACACTACCAGGAGGAGAACAACAACGTAGTTGATGAATTGTCCAAGGAATTGTCCGAGATGGGGTGTATAGTAGACGCAGCGAAAAGACCCCCTAATATCTGCGTCGAAACTTGCGTCTACGAGGAATCGGAGTCCGAAAATGAAAAGACTGAGGTCTATAACGAAGAGGATGCGTACTCCGACGAATTTGAGGAGGATAAAAGTGAGGAAGAGGAATCTGTGAAGTCTTTACCCAAGTCTGTGATGAGTGACACAAGCAGAGAGCCCACCAATAGGTCTTCCATGAAGTTAACTAAAAGTCAGTCTTCTATAACTAGTCATCATAAGGCACCAGGGTCTGTGTCGGGAAGATCTACCAGTTTTGGGTGAGTTGTGCCATTGTTTTATTTTTTTTGTTCTTCAGTGGGTTTTAGTATTCGTTTTTTTTGGATAGCTACTTGTATTGTACAAATACTTGTATGGTACAAATTCAGAGAATACTTTTACTTGCTTCATGACAAAGCCTACCTGTTATTTTAATCCAATATTAAATTTGAGGCTTGTTATGAATTTACATAATGACGTGAAATCTATTCACGTAGATATTTTGAAACTCAGGAAAAAATGTAAAAACTAAAATTTGTTACATCATTAACTGACATCCTGGGTCGTCTGTCTGCAGATCAGTATCTGGCCTAAAAACACGTCGTATCAACATGTCTTTCACGAACGAGCGTCTTCGAGAGATTGAGAGGCATAACCACATACTCCTGACGAAGATCCTCAGTGCCAGGAACACGAGGAAGTGCTCCATTCCATCTCGGGAGCAGGAGGCTCGAAAACCTGTACCCTCGGCTGCAGTCTGCCGCAAGAACCAACAGAGACAGATTGACCATGATAATATGGTATGTAGTCACCTAATTAACTCGTTGAGTACTCTCATTATAGACACAATTAAAGAACAATAGGTTCCGGTCATCGGTCTCCTCGCAGTGTTTGACAGTTTAATCAGTTTTTTGTTAGTATACTTTACATAACATATGAGTCTGGGAGAGTCATGCTTCGGCACGAATGGGCCGGCTCGACCGGAGTGATACTACCAACGAGCAGAAAACCGACGTGAACCAACGCCTGCGCTGTGTTTCGTCGTGTGAGTGAGGTTACCGGAGGCCCAATTATTCCCCCCTTCCTAATCTCCCCACCTTGGATACCCAATAATCCTCAAATACCCAATTCCCAAAAGGCCGGTAACGCACTCGTAACGCCTTGGTGGTTCGAGTGTCCATGGGCGGCGCCGATTGCTTACCATCAAATGATCCGTCTGCTCGTTTAACGGCTTAAGCTATTTAAAAAAAAAAAACATTTTTATAGTGAAAAATGAACTCTATTTAGAGACATTTAGACATCCATAGGTAGTGGTTACCAGGACACCGGTGTAGAATTAATTTGTCAGTACTTGTCACCATCTCTGCTGATCCCGCGGGGGTCGTAAACACCGACTAATGTACTATAGTTGTTACAGAGATTTGGCAACAGTGCTCTCTGATATACCTTAACCTTTATTCCTGCAATTTACAACCTTCCTCTCGTGTTTATATACTATTAAGATCAGCAAATATACATAGGTATGGGGTTTATCAAATTTTGAAATGTTAGGTGTAAATTTTGTTAAGTGTGGAAGAGCCATGCTTCGAATGAGATCGGAGTGAGACCACGGCCTCACAGAAAACCGACGTGAAGCAACGCTTGCGTTGTGTTTTGTCGTGTGAGTGAGGTTACCGGAGGCCCAATTTCCCCCCTCCTCCAATCGCCCCAATACCTGAATACCCAACAATCCTCAAATTCCTTATCCCCAAAAAGCCTGTAACGCCTCTGGTGTTCCAGGTGTCCATGGGCGGCGCCGATTGCTTACCATCAGGTGATCCGTTAGCTCGTTTACCGGCTTATCCCATAAAAAAATTACATTTAATTTCCAGATTCTTCTAAAAAAGATCCAGCGCGCGAAATCATCAGCCTGCAGCATCCGCCGTTGATACAGAAGAGGCGTCCGATGCGCGGGCGCACGTTTATGCCAATGTTGTTCAATGTTACACTTTACGCTACGAGTGATGTTACTGTTAATAAATTTATTATACGAATTTATATTGAATTACAGTTTTTATTTATTTATGAACCAGTTCACACAATGATGTACATTTTAACCTTTTAACTATCAAAGTTGCCAATTTGACTCCTAATATATCGCGGGTGGGTACACAAACACATAATTTTACAAAGATCATACTCAAACCGACAATTTGTGAATCACAAAATGTATTTCTCCATGCGGAAATCGAATCCGCGACTGATACGTTTCTTAGATGTTTTTATTTATTACAAGCATACAAGTTTGACAAACCCTCATATTGTAGAGGGCCTCTTCCAGGTCAAAAGTGGATTCTCACCTACGATACTTTATGGGTAACAAAGGAACACTGTTTGATAACGTGAAACCTGAAACAGTAAATAGTTACTCAATAAAAACAGAGATGGCGTTACTTGTAACATTTTCAGCGTTAATTCACATTCACGGAGTGCATGATGCTGCATGTTTGTTTGAAACTTTTTGAGCACGTTTTTAAGTACCTATATAAATAAAAATTAATTTCTGTTCATTTGCCTTGCTAATACTCGACAACCGGTGCACCGATTTGATTAATTTTGGTCTCGAAATGTTGAAATTTTTGGGCGGTACGAAGTTTGCCGGGTTAGCTAGTAATAATAAGTATTTAATACTAGCTTTTACCCGCGGCTTCGCTCGCGTCACAAAAGAATAAAAAGTAGCCTATGTGACATACACCAATACACATAGCGCCATCTATACCAATACTTTTGTTTTTCCTCGGAAATATCAATTTTTCCGGGTTGAAAAGTACCCTATTATTTAATCCGGACTTCTAACTTTACGTCTGCAAAAATTCAAAGCAATCGGTTCAGTAGTTACGGCGTGAAGGTGGAACAAACAAACAAACTCACTTTATTAATTAATATTAGTAAGGATTTGAACTGGTTTAAACTTTATTCATTAAACAAAGTTACTTTATTTATGTTGCAGTGGATGTCATTTGGTGATGCATTATTATGATACCACACTGCATTCCATTACCTAACATCAACAGGCCATGGCACTCCATTGTTGGAGTATGGTTTGCTCTAGGTATATAAGAACTATTTCTCTTCATACAAAAGTTCATGTTTATTATAAAGACTTGCTGCCTGGACTCTGTGAAATGTAAAGTTTCTTAGTCTGCTCTTACGAATGCCATGGGAAGACTTTATTTATTGATTTTTAGATAGTCACAATAGTAGAAAACCAATTATAGTAACCGACATATTTACAACAATAAGATATGAGATTATAATTAACTCTTTGAGTACCGTCATTAATCTATATTAATTAAAGAACAATAATAGGTTGCGGTCACCGGTGTCCTACTGGTGTTTGACAGTTTAATACAAAACATAAACATTATATACACAACGAAAAAGAGTAATTCTTAATACTATATACGAATATTTTACAACTAATCAAATTCAATACTTATATCGAAACGTCAAAAACGATATTGTTCTATGAATTTTGTACCAAAAACTAACTTATGACGTCATCATATTTTCGAGTCAAATAGCACACTTGTTTCTGTTAAAATTGCTAGAATAAATTGAATATTCAGTATATCGTCAAATATATGAATGATATTGTAATTATTTTTGAATATTTGGATTGAAAAATCAAAATAATTTATTTTTGACCCAGGAAATACACAATTAAAACAGGAGTTAACAGCATTCATAAGTTTCTCGCGTAGTATTTCAAGCATAATACTTAGGTCTTTAGAGTCGAGTTAGGGACAAATCTACATACACTGCTATTACAAACAGGGCTGTCTGAGACTACGCTGGGCCCCTAAAGCGCACAATACTTTAGGGCCTTTTAGAAATGTTTCTCTTTTTATCGTTCTACCACACTAGAATTATCCCCTGTATCGTGGGTGTATTTACAAACATACAATACTACACACAGACCCGAAACAACAATTTATGGACCGTAGATCACACAAAGATTTGCTTGGTGCGGGAATCAAACCCGCTACACTTTGCTGGGCAGCCCGTTGCCACGTAACGTGTAGCGGGTCTATGTTCGTCGTAGAAATTGTCGGTCCTTAGCGAGCACTTGAGAATGGGGGCTCAGGGCACGGGGCCCGAGTGCCTTAATGGTAAAGACGCCACAGATTACAAAACGTCTTACATAAATAAGTAGGTAAACAAATGTAATTTATTCACGAACGTAATGACGTCACTATTCGAAATGATGATGATAATAAAAATGTAAAGGAGGATAATGAAACAATTGTAATGTTTATGTCACAAAGGGCATTGAATTTTTACGAGCGTTGCGCGTCATTTCACAGCTTTATAGTAAAATGACGTCGGTGCTCAGATTTCAGAATCTCTATAGCATTATTATGAAAGGTCTATAGATTTTTTTTATGCCATAAGTCGGTAAACGGTCCGACGGATCCCTTGATGGTAAGCTATCGTCGCCACATATGGACGCCTGGAACACCAAGGCGTTGCAAGTGCGTTACCGGCCTTTTGGGAATTGGGAATTTGAGAATTGTGCCTCCACATCCTTCCAAATTATCCCCCTCCCCAGCCTCCCCGAATGAGGATTCGGGGAGGCTGGGGAGGGGGATAATTGGTCCTTCGGTATCCTCACCCACACGACGAAATACAACACAAGCGTTGTTTCACGTTAGTTTTCCGCGGGTCCGTGGTATCACTCCGGTCGAGCCGGCCCATTCGTGTCGAAGCATGGTTCTCCCACACTTAAGATAGATGAATACATGTGAAGATTGTCAAGTACTAGTTATAGTTACTCCTGCTTTTTCTCGCGCTCTGCTTGGCTCCTATTGGTTGTAGCGTGATGTTTTATAGCCTATAGCCTTCCTCGATAAATTGACTTTTCAATACAAAAACAAATTTTCAAATAGAATCTTCAGCTTTATTTTATTTTATACTTTATTGCACACATACAGAAAATAAATTTACAATGGGCGGTTTCTTCCACGTGACGATTTCTTCCAGACAAGACTTTTGGGTGGACATTATTAATAAAATAAAAAAAAAAAAAAAAATATAAGATATAAGAAAATAGTTAATTGTTTTTATAATAACTATCGTGAGACATACTAAATTACCTAAAAATCGCGGGTTACTCACGTGTGCGCGACAATGTTTGTTTTCTTTTTTCGCTATTCGCAGTATTTACTGTGTGTACTGTTACTGTGTTATTATTGTATTTTCATTGTTTTTTTGGTTTTCATTATCGTTCTGTATTATCTATACATATAAATATCTGTATTTATTTCTCCTTTCTTTTTAATTTTGTATTATTTTTGTATTTATGTGCGTGCCTACTGTTGAATAAATGATTTTTCTTTCTATTTTCTTAAAAATAGTTGAACATAAATTAGGAGGTGTACTTTTTATTGTAAGGATACGACGGGGCACATGCTGGTGGAGTGCGTGGCGTAGGACGACCAGCGTCATATGCTCACAATATTTTTTTCTTTTATTTATCATATTTACAATAAATACAGGATTATCTATTTAAAATAGTAACCAAAAACCACTAAGGTTTAAACTTGTCGCGGAGAACCTAATGGGTTACCGAGGCTCCGGCTCGACGTGCAAGAGAAGGAACGGGGTGGTTTTTAGTCAGTTAGAGTCTGACACTCCCTCCCGCCTCACCCAGGCGGGAGCAGTCATTCGATGATTTTCCCTCCTTCAAAAAAAAGGTTTAAACTTGTGCTATCAGCAGGAATCAATCTCAAAATCAAAGTTTTGTAAAATGAGGTTTTACAAATAAATATATACGTCAATGTCGCTAACAATATAAACAACTTAGGATAAACGGTCTTTACATAAACAAATACATTCCTAAATAATACTTAAGTATGTAGTAATGCTTTAGTTTATAGTACATTTTATGCTCTGTGGCTTAATATTATTTTTTATTTCTGAGGGTAACCTATTAATAGATATCGGTGACGAGTTAACGACCTGCCGCTGCCGACTGTTGTCAAAAATATGGTTAGTAATGCAGAGTTATGGGATTCAGTGGAGTCCTTCTACAAATAAGATGCCGCGAAAGAAGGTTGCGGCGCTGTGGCGTAGATGAATTGAATCGTAATTTAAAAGACTGAAGCTCATCAAAAAGTATTTTTGTTCGATATGTATTAAGAAGAGTCCTGAACTGACGAGCACGCATGATTGATGAAGCGAAAGAGGTATGTAAGAATTGGGTACTTTTCTTAATCAAAAATAAAATATTTCGACTGTCCAGTATAATAAAACATAAAAAAATAATCACACTTTCATTAATTGATTTTTTTTTTTTTTTTAATATTATAAATTATTTCTCCACGGACTCTAGGTCTGTGCCCTTGTCATACAGTTTTTTAATTATAATACATCTAGTCAATTTTTATAAAGTAAAGAGGGAACCTAGTTACACACTACAATTAACTACATCTAAAATTATTACCAAAAGTATAGGTTACATTATAATTAGGCACTATTTATTTATTTCTATTTCAAAGGCTTTATGAAACCAGCCCACCAACAAGATGGGAGAGCCGACCTGACCCAGCAGAAGGCACCCGTTCACGAGTATGACGTGTGTGTCAGCAATTGGTCCGGTCAACCTTTTTATTGGGAACGGAACAACCCAACACACAGCGCCACCGACTGTAGGACATTTATGTGTGCATGACGCCTCAACCTTTGCCACATGGGCCGATTCCAATAAAGCGTACAATAGTCCAAAGTCAATTGGTTATATTCTATTTCTACATGTTTCTGCACACACGTTCCATCACAAGCAACACTCCCCGCCCAAGAGAGCACCCATGACTGCCGCGTCCCTGTGTCTGATAGCCATTTTCAGGTTGTAGTCCTTAATACCTTGCTCACCCTCATCAGCCGCCTT